CATTTAATATTTTTGGACCAAAGTTAACTGCAGGTAACTAGAACTTTAGAAAGGAAACTGAGGATAGTGGGAACTACTGTAATACAATATCATGGTATTAGGGTAACAAGTAAACCTTATTTCAGTGGCTTAACACAGTAGAGTTTTGCTTTATGTTCCTGACTACTGTGCTTCTTTCTATCTGGTCACAGAAAATGACACTCCTTCTACCTTTATACTATCCTCTCCTCTAGGGCCACAAAAGTTTTCCTCCTTCAGTCATCAGATGGCAAATAAGTGACCACACATGGGAGATTTCTATGGGCCTGTTCCAAAACTGTTATATATCAAATTAACCCACACTCTATTAACTAGCCTCATACTTCATGCACCTAAGTGCAAAGGAGGCAGAGAAATGTAGTCCATGACTGTGCCCAGGTAGAATGGGAACCTGATCTGGTAATTATCCAACAATTTCTGCCACCATTTTGTTGTGGAAGTAAGAGACCACAGCACGTGGAAATGGATTGGATGAAATTGGTGAGAGGAAGAGAGGAATTAGGAATGAAACCTCGGACTTTTCTCACTAGTGACACTTGGTAACAGTGGTTAAAGAAGATCTAGGAAATATACCTGATTCTTCTCCTTCCCTTAGCCTCATCTATTATACTGAAAGAAGGGATGATGAGGGGAAGGAGACACAAGGCAATGTGAAGACTTAATCGGAGTTATAGGGAACGGTTCGATTGGAATGAATGCATCTAAGGCAGTACTGGTAAACAAATTTAGAAGGCAGGTCATAGACCCATTGGGGAGCTGAGTGTTGTAAGGAGGTCAATTGGAGAGAGAGAGGATATTAAGGACGTTAATCATTGTCTCCTTCTTCTTATTCTCTTCTCCTTCCCTTCCTCTTTCTCCTCCTCGTTGTAACTTTCACATCTGAATTTCCCACCTTCTGAAGTCATCCTCCACTTTAACATCCATGTAAGCTCACTTCTTCCTATAAATCAGGACAGATTAAGTTATCCTCACGGTAATGAACAATCTCAAAATATCAGTGACTTAAAACAATATAGGTTTATATTTCATTCGTGCTACATAACATCAGGGATCAGTCAGGGATCCAGGTGATGGAACAGCTGCCATCTCAAATGTTTTCCTCCATGCTAGGGAGAAGAAAGTTTTGGAGCATCAACAATCAAATGCTCATCTCTGAGATCACATGTGTAATTTCTGCTCACATCTCACTGGACAGAAATAATCACATGATCCCAACAAACCACAGAGGGCCACGAAGTACAATGCTGCTGTACTGCCAGAAGATGGAGAACCAGGAAAACCTGGTGACATTATCTCATATATCTATGGGGTGTCAATGTCAGTTTCAGGTCTCTTTCTCACGTTGTTTTCCTATAAACTTGAAAGCACTTTATTCTATTTAGTGTCATATTTCCCATCTAAAAGCTTTTTGATATAAATAACTAAATACTTCACTTTTCCATATATATTCCAATGTTCTACATAAACTCCATCCTACTTACTGGCCCTGTCAAAGTTTGCAGCATTCTACTCCAAGATTCTTAATTATTTATTGAATGAATGAGTGAAATGCCACATATTTCATTTGTTTAAACTTATTCTACGCCATGCATTAGAATTTCTCCCCAATTGTATTAAATCATGCTCAAGGAGAATGAGCTTTATTTTTTATTTTGCCTGTATTCCCATCCTAGTTCCTATGGAGATTTTAGGGTGTGTGGGACATTCGCGTATTGGAATTTCATGGTTTTACTGGCAGCGTTCTTGAAGATGTCCTCTACTAACATATTTTGTAATTCACTGAGCTCCACCCTTTTCTTCCCTTCTCTTCTTGTGTTTTCTTTTTCTTTCCCAGATTACAAAATATAATTAATAAATGATATAATTTATGTTTTCATTTTCATACTGTGTGCCAAAGAATTGCATTTTTCCACAATGTCTTACTAATCAAATCTAATCCTTAAGTATAATCAGATATACGATCTCTTAGCAGTTGTTTCTCCTCCTTCTTCCTCTTTCTCCCATCTGTCCATATCCACATGACATTTCTCCATACGCTTTCCTTGTCAGCAAAGACTGAGCATGTGAGTCAGATGGAAAAGGACAAAATTCATATGAACTCTCTCGTCTGTGGAATATAAAACAAAAAGAATTAACAAAGCAAAATAAATGCAAACTCATAGATACATACAACAGAATGGTGTTTACCAGAGGGGGTAGGGGGAATTAAATAAAGGGGGTCAAATATATGGTAATAGATGGAAGCTAGACTTTTGGTGGTGAGCACACAATAGAGTATACAGATATCAAACCACAATAGTGTATGTCTGAAACTTATGTTATTAACCAATGTTATGTCAATAAAAAACTAATTAAATTTTTATAAAAGAATTTAAAAGATTTCCCCCTCTTGTCCTCTGACAGATGTTTGAGATTCTATTTTAGAGTCTCATTTTTTAGAGCATTTGTATAATAGTGGCATCACTAAACTACAGTGCCAACTTAGGAAATCTTCAGCTTGTTCAGTGTAGTCTTAGCCCAAACCAGATGTGGAATTCTCCCCACCATGTCCTTAGATATCTAGTCGACACTTAGGCTAATGGGTATTGGAACATTGTGGAAAAGCAACCAAAAGGGTAGCTGCCTTTGCAATAAGCAATTTTGTTGGGTTTTCAGCCAGTGACTGGCATTCGCAAAAGAACTCACTACACACCCTGAGATGGGGTGTTTAGGAGGCAGCGGGCACTCATCCATGAAGGCAGAGCTTTTGACTGGTAGAGTCTACTGAGCTCTTGAAAGGAAGTTTTATTAGTGTATCTTCTCTCTGCTCCTCAGACACATTCTGGGTAGTGTGTACTGGGGGCTGGACAGAGGGGCTACTTACCTTAGGCAACTTCCAAGGTAAATTCAGAGGCAACACTCCCTCTGCTACTCTTCTCTCCTCCTCCCTCTTGTTCTTCCCTGGATTCTCACCCACACCTATCACATCTTTTCCATATAAAAATCTCATTCTCCTTTCTTCCACAGTAGAATTGAACACCCCCTCAAATCCAGAGCGTGTATCATTAGGTACCGTTTTTTATTAGCTGGATGATAGGAAGGACAGGGTTTCCAAACATTGTACAGAGATGAAGGGAAGTATTTGTCCTCTGCATCAGGAGTTGGGAGGGGAAAAAGAAATTCTCCACCCTGGATTGGGTTAATCCATCAAAACAATCATCATATTTTCATGTTAAAACAAGTTGAACATTCACATCCTGCTATAGCTGGAGCTTTGTTAAAATACAAATGAACAAAGAAAGATATCTATGGTTAGTTATTTGACCTAGGTAAGATTAATTTTCAATCCTTTCCTGAGAATATTTTTGATACATGAAAACTAGGGGAAATTAGGTACTTTATAGAGATGCTAAAAGAGCATGCCAAGAGATTATGACCAAAGAATGAGGAAGGCTGTGACGGTTTTGCTATAGCCTAGCACAAGTTATATTTACTTCCTAAACCACAAACTTAAAATACTCATACAGTTCTGCTTTCCAGAGCAACACCATGGTTTGTTCCTTCCAACTATCTATTCATCCTCTTCTCACTGGCCGTGCCTGTCTCCTTCATGGTCATACCCACTTGATCTACACTATATCCTCTTTTGCACTAAACTTAAACTCTCTAATCAGTGAACTGGGATACAATTCCTTTATGTCTCATTTGCTGTGGGCCCCAAATAGAGATTTTGAACCCTAATAACTTGATGAACACCTCAGTGAGCATCCACTAAATTCTGTACCCTCGGTCTATATCCTCACAATTGCTTTTTCGAGGAGAGATAAGATCAGGACAAGTTTTTGATGTTCAATGCAATGATGTCTAAGAGATTCAAGGCTATCTTCATGCCAGTGTGTCTAGAAATTTGGCTTTTTCGGAGAATAATATCACTGGAGGAACTAAGAAAGTATGAGAGAAATGAAAAGAATGGGAGCAAATGAGAAGCAGTTTGGCAGCAAGAACAGAGACACTTGCAAAGTAGCAAAGAATGACCTTTAAGAAAGAGAAGCAAGAGCTGCCCAAAATTAGCTGTCAATCAACAGGAAATTCCACTAGCGTCAGAGCAACGGGTATACCAGACATTTTACCAAAGGACAAAAGGAGAAGAAAGTTTGGGATCTTTTAAGGCATGGTGACTACTATGATAATTATTACCTATTATTTTGATCATCTTCAAAATTAGAGTGGTTTGGGAAAGGTAGGACCATATTTTTATTAACTTTATGGCTGTCTAACCAACTATCTTTCTTCCAAAACTTCAGGGATTGGCGGCCTGGGGAAATTTGTGTTTGAGTAGCTGCTAGAATGTCCTAAGGCTCTGAAACTGAATTACTTTTCTGGAAACTGATGTATTTATCTGTTAAACACAATAAACCAAAGACTGCAACAGACCCCTTCCCAGGACAAATCCAGGCAGAGGGTAAAGAAATCCTACATCACCGGAGATGGTTTAGGATTTCTTATAATGTGCACACTTTTTGTTGAAAATTTTCTGTACAAGCCTGGCAATGTTCAGGGAAAACTAAAGTAACATTATCAGGGTCAAGTTCAAGATTAGTGCTTAACCCCAAACTCCATACTCTATAACTGATTTACTGCAAATAAGACATGCAAGGCTTTTCTTAAAATTTCTACTGAAGTGTTTTGTTTTTTTTTAAACACTGCTGAATCTGCATCAAGTTACACAAACTTCCTTATAAAAAAGTGTCTGTGACAGACATAATTAATGAACCCTTTCCTGAGAAATACATTTTAAAATATGGGTAATCATTGTATATATCCTTAGTTGTGGTTGCCAATGCAAATGAGTCAGAGGATTTGCTTCAGACACTGAGTTAACTGTGTGACTCTACAGCGGGAAATGCCATTGGAGAGAACTTGCTGACCTCACAGTTGAAAAAACCATTTAAAAGATGTGGAAACCAGATGTTTCAGTCACATTTCAGCCTCTGTTCTGAGAATTTATCCTGAGCAGCCCCGAATAGGCTATTACTTCTCTACAATTGAGATATGGTTATCTTAATTTACCTATTTGTCTTGCTGTGGGAAGAGGCTCATGGATGGGGATTCAAGAACGGAATTTTTCATAACTCCATATGGCTCGGTAAGAAACTTTACTCATTGAGATGTTTTATTGAGAATGTCACTTCTTTGAATTTATGGAGCGGTGCATCAGAGCAGTAAATTTTTCTGCTCTGTTCAAGCCTGATATTTTCAACGAAAATGCTTAAGAAAGATAGCTATTGGAATGCATCTATCATTTTTTAAAAAGCGTTCCTGCCTTCTAAATTTAAAAATATCTTTTTATAAAGTAAACTGTTCAGTAGAAAGTAGAGGTTAATATTTATATTCCATAAAAAATATATTAAAAAATTTTTAAGTAGATGTAGGGTATTGTGGGGAATGTTTCTTTAACAAAAACAACAATATATTATTTTGTTTTTATTTCAATGCATCTGCAGTCAGATTTGATAGCAGGTAATTATAACAGAATCATAACAGATAAGTTGGAATATACAATAATTTTATGATCATTGCTCCATGTACTGTGACCTGTAGTGTATATCTTGCTTTTTCCAAACATCTTCTGACTAGTTTGACAAAGTCAGCTTGTAATAAAGAAAAAAATATAAAAGGCCTCTATTTCTGAATGCATTCTTACTTTGATTCCTTTTGTTCAAGTTATCCATATAATTTTCTACTGTTTTTGCTAGACAAGGAAAGTTTTGTAGTTGTTATTTTGTTCTGTTAAATGTAAAGAATGACATGGACCCAACTGTGAATATAAACAAGAGACCAAAAAGCCAAATACTGAAAACCCAAAATACTCTTTATAGCACTCGACACAATGCTTTAATTCTCATAATGCAAATTAATATGGCTTTATGTTTGTTCATCACTATGTTTGATACTGAAAAAAAAATTGAATTTCTCAAGCAGAAAATTGAGGGATTCTTGTGTAAAGCAAAGAAATAAAAAGAAAGCAAAATTAACCTATATCCTGGTTTCATGCTTGCTAAGCAGCACACAGTTGTAGAATATTTTTCTTGCAACATGTTTCTCTCTGGTAATAACTGCGGCCATGCGGATTTCATTAAAAAGCTTGATTTGTAATGCTGCCTCTTTTCAGCCTGAGCCAGTGAATTACTTTTGTGTACAGTGAGGTCCATTTGGCCAAGATGGGGCCTGAGATTTACTAGAGGAATGAACAAGTCTCTGTTTATTTTCACCATACATAATCAAACTTAGGACATATAAATATTTGTCAGAAATGAAAAAGATTGTCATGAAACTAGTAAGAATTAAACCCATATGGATGAACTTTGAAATGTTATAAAACTCTCTAACGATCAAGTAATTTGGAGCTGTTGTTTTGTTTAAGTAATGTTGCATATTATAAACATATAAGCCTAGATAATAGAAGTTTTGTCCTAGAGGTAGAGAGGAGCAAAGCCAAGTGTTTGTTAATAGTATGCTGCAAACCTGGGGCTGGGGGTAATTGCACATTGCTTCAATCTGGGACAAATTATTGACCAGTCAGCCTAGCACAAATTGTTTACAGTTGGTTAAATCAATGTAGTAATAAAAAACGATTTCAGGAGGAAAGAGAGTTGGATTCAAAGGCAGGAATCTGCTAGCAACTCCCAAGAACGAGGTACTTTAAACTCAGTCTCAGTTCCACATTGATAAAATGAGAATGTTGAAATAGAGGACCTCTAAGGTTTCTTTTTAACTCTGGTATCATAAGTTGAACCATCCTAAAACGGGGACCATCTGCACTTGCACTGCACCCTAGTGCCCAAGTTGCTTGAGAACAGGACTTGAACCAGGGCACCTAAGAAAGTACCTCATGGTATACGCTCAAAACAACCAGATTGGAAACTAGTGAAAGTTTAGGTAATGAGGCTTTACAATATGAAGGACACTTGAGCAATAGGCAACTTTCAAAGGGGAAAATAACTTTGATGTTCCCTGTGTTTTCTGACCTATAAATATCAGATTGAGTAAGGTCCTCAGTGATGGGCCTTTACCATATAATGTATAAAAAGAAGATCACTTGGAGTCCAGAAAAACAGGGAGAATGCCAAGCAGCATCTCCTATTGAACCGTGGCACTGTCAATTTCAGCTTGGGGAGGAGAGCAAGGAACGACATTTCCAATATTGCTGGATCCATGTCTCCGCATGCAAAAGAATGTATGTTCTCATTAGAAATGGTCTTAATGGTGGCTGATTGCACAAGTCAGGGTATAAGGACAGAACCATAATCTGACAGTCTGCATAGAACTATTAGAGCTGTTATGATTATTGTCCTGGGAATCTTTTCACATTGTTTCCATGGCAAAATGCACTCCAAAATCAAAACAATCAATTTAAACAGTGATCTACTGAGACACAACTCATGTATGATTTAACACTATCTAAAATATGTTGGAACAAATGTGAACTAAAAAAGACAAAATAAAGAACTTAGGAACGGGTAGTTAGGTGTGTCCAGGTTTTTCTCTGTTGTGTTTGAATCTAGTTTCCTTTTCTTTATTGCAATATTTGTTTGCTTTGGATTTCTTCAAACTTTTCCTCAGTTTTTAATCATAACAGCTCTAATAGTTCTATGTAACTTCTCAATTATATTGCATTAGTAATTTTCCTCAACTGGCTATTTTAGCTTATTTTTCTCCATCATTGTGAGTCTACATAATGGATCAATTTTCATTGGTTTCTTTTGACTTTACCACCTTTTTCCCCATATTAGTTACCCTTCTAAGTTTTATATGACTTAAAGCCAAAAAGAAAAAAAAAAAGTCAAAACTAAATCACCTTTGGTAGCATAGGAATACAATGTCGTATGAAAACTTTCAAGCTATCAGTTCAGAAACATAGTTTAGCCTCAGGTTCCTGTCTATGCCCCCAGATTTCCCTAAAATTCCCCTCATTCAAAGCTTTCTAATAATGAAAACTTAGCTGCCCAAAGTGGCTGACCCAGGGAAACCTTTGGCATGAACAATAGCTGATGTAATCTTCCAGCTAAGGCCACAAAACTTCCCTTGTTCCACGAGAATAAATAATAGTGCACTTAATGACATCTTGTGAATTCACAGAACAAGCAGCAGGTGTATACCACAGAGAAGCGCGGTCCGGCAAATACAAGCTCACCTACGCAGAAGCAAAGGCGGTGTGTGAATATGAAGGTGGACGTCTCGCCACCTACAAGCAGCTAGAGGCAGCGAGAAAAATCGGTAACAAATTTGACAACGACTTTCCTTCTTTTTCACCCTTGGGTGAAAAAATGTTCCACCTTTTCTGTAACCCCTTAATGAGACTTCTCTCTCCACCCCTACCGATAGTTTGCTAAGCCCCCGTGAAGTCTCCGCCCCTTGGCTTTCCTCATCTTCTCTGCCTAGAGCTAGGGTAAGGTTCCTAGTACTAACAACTTATTTGGGGTTACAGCCCATTGTGAGCTAATAAACAAAAGTTAAAAGAAAACGAAGACATTATTTCCATATCATTTAAGTTCCTCATTAATTTTAATGTCATTACTATTCATTTTTAATATTATTCTGTCTCTTGACCTCTGATTATGGGCTTCTGCAGCTGTTAGATGATGTTACTACTACATTGAATCTTATAAGGAAATTTACTTGGTAGAAGAAATACTGGATTTAGTGTTTTTTTCTTTCAAATTTTTTTCTTTTCTTTTTTCTTTTCCTTTTCGTTTATTTTTGCATTAAGTGGGAGAATACATTTGTACTTCAGGATCAAAAGCTATGAGGAAAAAGAGGATAAACAAGTTATAAGATGTCAGGAAAAAGGAACTAGAAAGATGATATCAGGAGACCTGGTGAAAAACCCAGTAATTTACTAGTGCAATTTGTTTCTTTATTCAAAAAAAAAAAAAAAAAGAAAAAAATTGGCTGCTACCATTTCTTTTGGACTTTCAGGAAAATCTAAAAGGCCACCCTATTTGGAACTCTTCTCTAGTGAAGGAACCCCTTTGCTAATAGGGAAATATCTGGCGAAGCTTATTCTATTATTATAATACTCAAGACAAAAATAAAGATGTTTTCTAAAATGCCCCAAAGTCTCCCCAGATAACTACTCAGCCACTGGGCTATGTGTGAAATGATGCATACAAAGGCCAGAGCCACTACTAGCTGTCCTGTAATTCTAGCAAAATTGTTCTTGAATGGCATTGGCAAATATTTAAACAACTTCTGAAGTTGAGCAAGAAAAACAGGGCTAAGACTTTGTTTGAAATTTATGAGTGCTTTTATCCCTCTTCAAATTTTTTAAAATATTAGTAACGTCTTAATTGATTCTGAAATAGAATATAATTAAATTATCATTTAAAAAAATTTTTTTTCAGAATTGATGGTAATTTTAGAAATTATTTCATTGCACTAGATAGGTCATTGGCGAAAAGAAACCAGCTCTGAATTTGGATTGTTTTTATACCCCATGATATTATGATTTCTAGTTCATCAGCATCTTTTGTTTTTTTCAAGTGAGATGTCATTTTCTAGTAAAAGTCAGATATTGTATTTTATGTGTTCCAATTCTATTTTATTTTTTTAAGAAAACAATTTTTCCCCTTTTACATGGGTTTGGGCAGCTAAGAAACCATCACTGTATGAAGGTGCCATCTTTGTTAAGATGACCTCTCAGCTGAATGAATTTACCAGTTAAGCCTACAGCCCTTTGATTCTCTTACAGGATTTCATGTCTGCGCTGCTGGGTGGATGGCCAAGGGCAGAGTCGGATACCCCATTGTGAAGCCAGGGCCCAACTGTGGATTTGGAAAAACTGGTGTTATTGATTATGGAGTTCGTCTCAATAAGAGTGAAAGATGGGACGCCTATTGCTACAACCCACATGGTTTGTTAAAAAAAATAATATTACACTTTGCAAAAATGGTTACATGTTACTATGAGGCTGTTAAAAAGATATAGCTTCTTTTTCCGGAGATAAATTAATTTAATGATGATAATTACTAATAACTACCATTCACAGAGTAATTATCGTTGTGCCAGACACTGACTTATGTTCCTTCAACTACACTGTCACTCATAGTTACAACTCTGCAAGGAATTATTGTTACATTCATTTTAGCAATCAAGAAACCAAGAGTTTAAGAGCTTAAGTAACTTACCCAATATTAAACAGACAATACTTAGTAGGCAGATAGGATAGTGAATTCAGGTCTTTTCTGTGACAGAGAACTTCCGGACCACAAGGGAGAAAAAAGCAGATTATGAATATGTCACAGTTAATTAACTAAGACAATAAAGTGATGCTACCAAATGTTAGCTGTTCAAAATTATCCCTTTGATAGAATGGAGAAAAGGAGACAATAAACAAATTCCCTAATTTATTTTTGTGCATAAATTATTTAATTTCCAAACTGAGCAACTCTCACTCTGTGGTTTGTTTTAACAATTATATATTAGATATACTAGTTATTATTATATGTATATTTTTATTTATATTCTTTTTCCATGGTTGATCGTAGCTAGGATAACTTTAAAGGAAAAATTAGCTCATTATAATTACTATAAAGAGTTACTCCTTGATCATGTTTGTGAAGAAAAAGATAAACTGTTCTTTTTTTTGGATGCATTTCCTCTAGGATAATATTACAAAGTGTCACAATGTGTTTACTAAGTCTTTCCTCACATTTATGATCATAAACATCCTCAGGTGGTGTCCCATTTGGATCTACTTCGTAAGAAAGTCCATAACGATAGGAGACAATAGTGAAGTTCTAGCATATTATTATAGAATTTATTTTTTAGTGTTATTAACCACTGGAGAACAGTTTCTCATGCTTGTAACTAATCTATATCTCAAAATAATGTGTATTCCAAGTAGAAAAGAATTTTGCCTACAGCTATCACCTATTTCCACTTAAGACAAAATATGAATAAATACTTACACTACATCTATATAGGACTATAACTTCCAAATCAATTTGACATACTTTAAGCCTGTACAGTACTATACTATATCTAGTCCTATATTTAGTCATTGTTAATAATTCATAACCCTTCTTTTCCTCTATGTCTTCCTTTCTTCCTTTTTCTTCAATATATTTATATAGGCAACTCTCTTTTAACTCTCAAGAGTAACATTTATTTCCGAATATATTCTCTGATTCTTCTTTTGCTTGACAAACTATTAGATTGTTTCCATAAGTCAAAGTCTAGGGGAGATGAAGAGGTGCTGATGGAAAGGTTCTTACAGTATTCCATTGCCCTTTTGTAAGAATACTTCTTAATTTATGAATTTTTATTAACTTCTTTTGTTTATCATAGAAGCTGACTACTTTTTACTCTGGAGATATGTGTACAGAATCCTGGGAAACTTGTTCTTATTCAATTTTCAGCTTACTTTTGAATTTGTTGATATGTTGATGATTTAGGATTTTTTTAACCAGCTGGGGACTGAGGACTACCAGAACTAGCTTTGGGAGAACAACAACTAATTAAAAATAATTGGAATGAAAAAAATCATAACAATATCAGAAAAAATAAAGCAATCATTACTAATTACTCAATATCATCAAATTAGAGCTGACTGAAGTAAGAAGAATAAGGTCATTAAGAAGTGTTCAGAAGTAAACTTGCTCATTCAAGTTCTGAACGTATAACATGATGTTGACTATCTTTCATATGAATGTTTTTTAACCACTTAACATTTCTCAGGGACCCAGTCAACTTTGTGAATCTGTCATTTTCATTTTCTAAATAAATAAGAGATGAGGCAATAACTATATGTAACAAAATATAGAGCTAAATAGATGTAGCTAAATAGACGATCAAAATAGTTCAATATTTGAATTTTTTTCCTAATTTAATGATGATGTACACAACAAAAAAAGAGTATTATAGGACAGAGCAAGTCACTTCAAAATCTGGCACCATACATACTTATATACACGTTTAAACCATGTATCACATAAATTTTAATAATATAATAAGAATAGTTTACATTTTATATAATGTCTTTAAGTTATCTTCTATATTTTATCCTCAGAATAATCCTATGAAGGAACTAATAAATTATATTTATTTCACCAATGAAGAAACTGGGATATAGAGTTGTCACAGACTAGATCCCTGACCTTTTGTCTCTCCCCAGACTAAGACCCTGTTCTGCCCTGGGGAGATAAGCTTCCTTAACTTCTATGACTTTAAGGATTCAAATGAAAAATTTTATAATAATTTTTTAAAGGAGAATATTCTTGTAAAAAGCTTCTAATTAATAAAATGAAAAATATCTTTGAATGCTACCCAGAATCAGCACTACCACCACCACTCAGATAAATTTTGAGTTTCCAGGTCATTTTTTTTTAAAGACACTAGACACTTATTTGATATGGATGGAATTAAAATTAACCAGGGCCCTTTCATAGCTTCTCTCTAGGTCCTACTACAAATCACTGGTTCTGGCAGAGGTTATTTGTTTGTTCTTATAACAGGTTATATGGCACAACATAAATATATAAAATAAAAAATGACATAAAAAATAAACAAACATGAATATCTTGACCGGATCCTCAAATATTAGAATTAAGATGTTAGTTTAAAACCAGTAAAAAGAGTACAGAATAATTATCAATGATTCCTTTTAACTGTATTAGAGTGACTTTCAAGGTCTCTTGTAATTCTGAAATTCTATAATGATTTTCCAAACAGAATTTACTGGACTCATTATTCTAAGTGTTTAAGTCCCTGAAGACAGTGGTGACACCACAGAACAAAATCACTGCCATCTTGACTCAACTGTTAGTAACAGGGGTATATGTATTTGTCAAAACATGTGGAAGCGTACATATAAAACTTGTGCATTCTATGCTTAGAAGACAAAAAGAAGTGAAAAAAAAAATGTAACCAGGAGCACAATCAATTAAATTACTATTTTTTCTTGCTATTTTACTTTTTAAAAATTTTACACGTCTATGTTTAGAGAATTGAGCTACTATTGAGGAAAAAATACATTTATTCTTTAACTGTAAGTATACATTATATGCTATAGATGCTGTGTATTAAGCCATTTTTCACTCTTTCATAAAAAGATGAAACATTAAGAAATGAATATCATTTTAAAGTAGGAATAATATTTTTTCTAATGTTTTCTTATCTTTTTTTTTTTCTATTTTAGCAAAGGAATGTGGTGGTGTCTTTACAGATCCAAAGCGAATTTTTAAATCTCCAGGCTTCCCAAATGAGTATGATGATAACCAAATCTGCTACTGGCACATTAGACTCAAGTATGGTCAACGTATTCACCTGAGTTTTTTGGACTTTGACCTTGAAGATGACCCAGCTTGCTTGGCTGACTATGTCGAAATATATGACAGTTATGATGATATCCATGGCTTTGTGGGAAGGTACGTATTGTTTCCTCATACCAGAGTTAAAGGAACAGTCAATATTTTGATGTTTCTTTAGTTTCCCCTAACTGTTCCTACAATATTGACTTTCTAGTATTTCTAGTCTCCTGCAACACCATATTCTATTATAACTAAGATTTTCCTTAGCATGTTAAACCATAATCAACTACTACTTGTTATTAAAAAAGTGATGGCTGCCTTTTGATTATTAAGTTGTAACAATTAATTAAATAGTCTATTTATAAAGACTTCAAGATTGATCAATAGCAGGAGGAAGAAAGATGTGTGAAATGGGAAATTTGTTAGGGTTTGTAAGTGTTCTAATTTCTGTCAATTTCCTAAAAAGAATTATAAATTCAGTAATTACTGCCTTTCTTCTGTGTACAAAGCATTGTGCTAAGCTTTATGGATGTAAGGTAAATAAGCAAAGTAGAGCCCCTTCTTTCATACAATTTAGCTAAACCTACAATGGGTTCTTCTTAAAAAATAGCTTTCTTTGCCATAAAAATCAAGTGCTCCTTTTCTCAAAATTTTTCCTTTGTTTTTTCAACATGCTGGGACACAAAATTTTTCTCTTCCTACCTTAAATCTTTAATGTAGTTTAAATTTTGAGAGCTTTACAAAATATTGCAAATTAAAGAGTGTGCAATCAGGTGTTTTATATATTCAAGTCCCCACTTAATAATGTATCTTCTAGACTACCCATTATCTATAGACTATCAGTTATCATGCTCTATTATCCATGGCAGTAATTTAATGAAGGAAATGGTAGTAGGAACAATTAAAAATGACAGACTCAACAGTTTTTATGTTGATTTTGTAATGTGTAATTAAATACAAAGAAAAACAAAGGCATTTCTTGCAATAAATGAACAACAGTTAAGGGAGGGAGAGTGTTTCTTGCTTTGTTTTGGTTTGTTCTTTGACTGAGACTATTGCTATAAAAAAAATTTCAAAAAGTTTTAAAAATAGTTTGAAGAACACATGAAGTGAGTTGATAGAATTAAGAATAAAGCAGTTTTTGAAATAACGGACCTCCTACCTTGGAAATTAAGATGATGTTTTTATTCTACACCTAATTTTAAAACTTACAGCCCTAGATAAAATCACAAACTATTTGCAAAAGGTTTTTAACAGGTTATTTGCTAATTATTTAATTTATATTTTGTGATTTACCTTAAGAATAGACTTACCCTGCCCCCAACACACACTTTAAGACATGATTCAGATAAAAATCAAAATCCTCTTTTATCTTGTCTACAAAAGAGCATCCAGTCTAAGAAAAAGTCTCATAAGAGTTTATTTGAGCCAAACTGACAACAATTGCCAGGAAGCAAAATCTCGACAATCGAGAAAATGCTCTAAAGAATAGTAGTTTTACAACTGATTTTATACATTAGACTCAAAGGAGGAGACATAAAGAGGTTACATGAAATGTATTGGTGGTAGATTAGGGAGGCGGGAGAAAGGAAAGTTGGGAAAGCTGAGGTTGGATAAAAGGTAAAACAGTGACACACATACTTGGTGGGTATGCATAGTTGATAATTAACAATTACAGCACATAGAGATGGAACAAGATAACAATGAGGGGCTCTGTGTTCTTGTCCTCTGGTGGGAAGTTGTACCCTGAGGGGTCTGGAAAAGATTACTCTGACATTCCAAGGTTTGTTATCTTAGATGCAAAAAGACAATAAACAGGCTCACTTAAGGTAAAGATTGACCTTTGTCAAGGAAGCTACAGGCCAAGGATGTGGCTACCCTCCATGACGCACGTTTAATTAGGAATTTTTATGTTCATATCATCCTATGTGATTACTTTCGGTCTCTGAGTTGTGAGGCTCACTGTGCAAGCCCTTTCTTCATCCACAATCAATAATGTCCAGTATCATTTTCCACGTTTAAATTAGTCTACTCTAGAATTCACAATATTAATACCACTGACCATACACCCATTCCTTCAACTATGAAGAAAACTTTATGAGATTAATCAGAAACAAATTTTGAATTTTTCCAAATAGATTCAAATTGTCTACTACACAAATAGTTTTATAGGTACACAGAGTAGAAATGCCACATATCCTTTCTTAAGAATCTCATTAAAATCGTGAAGTTATCTCAAACAATGTTTTAACCTCTTCTCCCTTACTAATTGAAGTTAAAAAACAAACAATAAAACATCATAAAATAATAGGAAAAGAATCCATTATTAGGGGACATAAAGCACTTTGTCGGTAAGAGCTACTTGTAATAGCTGTATAATATTCATTCACGTGACCTCTCTTTTTTAAAATCCCCTTTTAGATACTGCGGAGATGAGCTCCCAGAAGACATCATTAGTACAGGTAATGGCTCTAAATTGAGGGGCAAAACTAGGATTTCTTTTCCCAATGTCAATGAAAGTAGAGAACCCAATAATTTACTTATTAAAGTTGAGAGAACTGAGGACAGATGTAGCTTGCTAGGTTGTAAAATTCAAAGAAATGTTTATTTATTCTTAAATAAAAATTTATGACAACTCCTTGCACAAAAATGTATAAACTCTTATCATTTGCAGGATATGCAGTTTGAGATAGTCTCAAATCTGCAAATCCATGAACATTGCTGTTGCTTATGATTTCCATAAATGTAATAAAAGGCCAAAATTTTTCATGGATAAAGAATTGAAGTAATTTATAAAGTTGTTAAAAATACCCTCTGTCACTGAACAAATTTTACATATTATTTGTTGCATTTTTACCTTAGTATATCATTCCCCAGAAAGAGTTGTAAAGAACGCAGTTCTGTGAGATGTTTTCAACAGGTGTTACATTAGAAATGGGCTCTAAGGTCAAGTAAATTTGGGTAACTTTGGGTTAAATAATGTTAAACAGGTTTCTTTACTGGAAATTGTCAGAGAGCTTTTAATATGTTAATTATTCATAGTATATCTCAAAAGAGTTCCCAAGTCTTGGCAATGGTTCCCAAGTCTTTTTCCTTTTGCAAATTATTTTCTGCAACTTTATCCCATGAAATGTACCTCAAGAAATGCCCTTGTAGTAGCATAAATTTATCTCAATAAGCAATACCACTGCTATTGCCCCAAACTGCTCTTTTCTGGCTAAGAACTTTATTTTCTTAGATGTCTTCATTTTTTCTTTTTATTTTCGTCACCAGTACTGGTAGTTGGCATTCTTACTTGCTCTATTTTTCCTCCAAGTCATAAAATTATCACAATGCTTATGCAACTAAAAACAAAAAAGCACCTTGAACTGCAACTTCTAAGCAGTCCTTAAGCTCAAATACTACCAGCTAAATTACTCCCACACCGTAGCCTTGCAGTGCACGCAATTCTCATTTATGCATCATTACAAGAGATGGAACTACTTGTTCAATTCTTGAATAATTAATGCTTAAAACTTATTCATTCAATTCCCTGTTAAAATCTCCCTGGGAACCATAACCTATTAAACCTTTTGTTTATCTCTTATTCTTTTCTAGAGGACATATATATGTTAACAGAAAGTTAAAAGAAGACATCTTATGAGCTGTAGGAGGTAGTTGAGGGATGAGAACACTATAAAAAAAAAAAGAGAGAGAGTCAAAGGAAGGCTAAAACTTGACATTTTTATCAGCTAAATTGAGGGAGAGTAATATCTTTGTTCTTTTGTATCTTTCTCCTCTCCAGGAAATGTCATGACCTTGAAGTTTCTAAGTGATGCTTCAGTGACAGCAGGAGGTTTCCAAATCAAATATGTTGCAGTGGATCCTCTATCGAAATCTAGTCAAGGCAAAAATACGAGTATTACTACTGGAAATAAAAACTTTTTAGCTGGAAGATTTAGCCATTTATAAAACAAAAAAGGACATTTGATATTTATGTTTGTATCTTTTGGAAACCCTTGGATCTCACTTTTATATTATTATTATTTATTATTTTTTCTAAATGTGAATATCTGATAATTTTGAGAAAATTGGAAAATACAGAAAACTTAAATGAGAGAATAAAATCTCTAAAGATTTCACTGCATAAAAATAACAAGTGT